GTTTAATGTAAATAAAAACATACTGCAAATGTATTTTTTCCATGTTTTTTTTTTTTTTTTGATATAAGAAAAAATGTATATGGTTTTTACAATAAATTTTTATGCCTTAATTATTAAAATTTTACATTTTATACTGTCAAATTTTGAATGTCAAACGCTTAATAAAGAGTGTTTCTATATATTTATATTGATAATGGAATTTTTTCATGTTTCTATGATAAATATTATTTTTTTGTAATAGCAAAATAACAAGTCGTTAAAGGATGAATTAACGCTGTTATAGGTTTGAATATCTAATGTCATCAATATTCGAACTTCCAAACACCCATAAAAGTTATTCTACATTTACGCTAAACTTCTTTTTTTAATTCCAGCTAGAAGTCTAACGAATGTCTTTGTATTAAAATTATTAAATGTTTAAGCTTTTATCTGTGAAAAAAATTTTAGGCCAACTAGATCCAGTACTACCTAATGCTAGAAATATGTTTATACTTAATAATGTGTCTTTATGCACAAAGCACAAAAATTAAAAATAAACAAACAATCATCATAGTAAAAACAAAATTATTCATTGATCCTTCAAATAATGTAAATAATAACGATGGAGATGGRTAWTTTATGAAAAACCTAACCAAATTATAAGCATAAACTATTCTGTCTTCTCACTTTCTGAAAAGGCTTTTGTATGAGTACTTGTAACGATCATAATGGTATTTCTATGGCTGCATATTACCGCGGCCGTTTGTTTCGAGCACAAAGGACTGATATTATACTTGAAATATCATTGCAGCGCAGTATTTCTCACCGAAGTTCCAGCCTCGATAAATTCGGAAAAATCCGTTAAATTCAATTAATAAAGAGTTCGCGATAAATATCGTCGCATTGCTAAAACGAATAGCACTGTCAATCGTGCGAATATAATAGTACGGAAATAATTCATTTCGCGCTGAAAAGATTGTCTAAAATTAATCTGATTGGATGAAGCACAACCGCATTATCATTTGGTAATATTATTATCATGAATTATAATAACCATTATTACAGTAAAGGTAAGAATATACGATACGATATAAGCATAAACTATAAGTAAGTATTGGGCAGGTAGTTGATTTGAAAGCGATTACTGATTATAAATTATTATCATATTTATCAGCTCTTCAATTGTAGTTTAGTAAATATAATTTGTAAGTACTATGATAATTAAAAGTAACATCATACAAATATAATATTATATTCTGTAGTATATTTCAAAATAAATATTTAGTATAAATTATAAGAAACTATGTCCTATCCTTCAAGATATTGTGGTTTATACATTAAATTAACGACCAAATATAATAATATATTATAGCGTATTTTTTTGAAACTAGATTATTACTTGTACAATAATATTGTTTACTACCTAATTGTTTTATCTTGTATAATTTAATTTCAAATAATTCACCAAACAAAAATTTGTAATTTTATTTTTAAATTCCTAAGTTTGCGACGTAATACTTGGCAACGCAAACATGTTCTAAGTACCTATTTAGTTTCCTAATGATATTATACTACTAATAACGCAAACTGATACGAAAT